TTTACGAAAGATTTTTCGCAGAAACCAAGGATCGGAGACTTCTGAGATGGAAGAAGTGCTTGCAGGTGTGCCACAAGGGTCAATGCTAGCTCCGCTGTTGTACACAACTTTTACTTCTGACATGCCCACAAATAAGAACGCCGCCGGCATATTACCAATTCCCTCTTCTACGCAAGCTTCGCTTATGTTACAAAACCACATAGTAACAACGTCACGACAGATCACCTTTACACTCCGTCATATATAGTTATACAATGAACCTGTACCTCAATCCGACACAGATAACACTTTAGGACATTTGATAGAAGACTAACTTTGATTCCACACACACGCTTTAAAATAACAGAAACTCATCAGAGATTTAAATCTTACCTATTTAACCGGCAATCAAAATTACTAATAAAATCAAAACTTTCAACATACACATACTTTCTCAAACCTACTTTGATGTACGGGTACCAAGTTTATGGATCGGCCAAATATTCCTATATTCTATGAATTACAAAGTTTTCAATCCATAATTTTAATACTAAATGTTTCTACCCCTTTTTATGTAAACAATAACACACTACTCATACCAATGGTTTTTTCATTCATCAAAACATATTACTGGCGTTTTCATAGTAAATTACAAAATAGATTATTCGATTCCACAAACTCTCACGTAAGCGATCTAATATGGATAAAAGACCTTTTCAATGATTAATATTATTTCAATTATTAATCCTGAGCGGCTGCCAATGAGTAGCTTTCTCTACAACACCCGTAATGCCACAACCATAACTTGAACTAAAATCTTCTGGTTGTATGTAAGACATGTACAGTTATAGATAAAAAGAAAAAAAAAGAAAAGTAACTATTACCTTGTCAATAATAAATTAATAATCAAAATCAGTTTTTTGGGTAAAAATTTTTTGAGGTTTGGAAAACACAGAGAGAGAGAGAGAGAGAGAGAGAGAGAGAGAGAGAGAGAGAGAGAAAGAGACAGACAGACAGAGAGGGCGAGAGAGGAGAAACCAAAAATAATAGTCACAAAAACCAACAGTTGATAAAAACATTGATTTTTTTGGGCGTAAAATTTCTTCAATTAAACTACTATAAATGGAAAGAGAATATGGAAACAATAAATAAATCAGTGAATATAAAGATGTAAAAGTACATTAAATTACGCGAATAATTTAATCATCTCGTTAAAAATAAAACGATATTTGTATTGATTGATAAAAAACCTTTTATTCAGTTTTATATTTCTGTTTCTCTCGTCAATTGAAAATATTCTCCACAGATTGTGTCAGTGCATCGACCAATCGAAAATTACGATTAAGAGTTAAAAACATTTTGACAACAATCTATTAATCAAGAATCAGTTTTATCAGTAGCCTCCGAAAGGGCCAAGGAGACGGACCCGCGTTCGAGAAATCACCACCGGCGAATTTCTATTAAGCAATATCAGGTTTGCTTTCGCAAAGGGGGAGATAATAGCTTAGCTAATCTGTCGGCAGTCGCCTTCTCCAGCTCGGCCGAGCGACATGGGTGCTCTCGCGAGACAGTGGATAGCATCTTTATCATGTGAGTTATCCACATTTCAAACACAAACATTACAAATTGTTTTACTCATAAAAGAAAAAACGCCATACAGAAAACAGGGAAGTCTGACCAAACAGGGATCGATTCCCGTCAATCAATCGTTACGTCACAATGAGGAATGAATTGATAAGAGGCACGCGTGCCGGCAGCATTGAAATATTTACGTTTCGGAAATACAACGATAAAGGATGTATATAATATGAAAATAACAATAAATATACGTTAATGTGTAAGATAAATTTTGTAGCGTTCAGTATTCCGGTAAAACTGCTTGCAGATAGTGACATGTCATGTACATATATATTTTTTCTTTTTTACCCGGTTGTGAAAGTGTTTTTTTTTCTTATCCAGCTTACTTCGAAAACCTGTGTGTTTTCAAGAGACTTTTTGCGATTATCTATTGATTTATTATATTACAAAAACATTATATAGAACTATCACACCTGTCAAATGATATTGGATGGATAAAGAAGCTCAATATAATTATCATGATGTAACAGCAAAAATATTAATGAAAGTTTAAAAAAAAAATTTATTTAATTACAACCTAATAAATCTCATACAATAATTTCCACTTTGTTTCAGTAATTTTCTGTTTAATGTACGTTAACAATCAAATTGTCTACAAGAATGACACCTTCGGCCTTGAGATAAAATTTACCAATCGAGATCTCACTAATCTTACTTTTACAAATAATTAATTATCGATACAATTAAAATATCGTCAATCAGAAATACATTATTTTTTTTGCGATGAACGTCAATTCTGAACAGCACAAATATTTTATTTGTAAAGCCACACCTTACTGATGTAACCGGGTTGTTGGATCCGTTCACTTTGTCATTCGGCTTTGCGTGATAGTTCCTCACTGAAGATGGCACAAAGATTTGATTAACTTTAAAATATTGAGTGCAGGTTGAAACAAGTATCCAGTGCAGGTTCAACATGTGTTCACCGACTCGCACACCAACATCCATCAACATGCTGTGTTGTATACAAATATACACAATGTATACAAATTGAGTTTATAATAAAAAAATGAATAAATAATTTTTTTCAGCCCCTTCATAACTAATGTTTCAATTTGAATTTGAACAAAGACATAATTCAATCATGCACGAATACAATGCCCGATTCTTCTTCAGTTATTATAATTAAACGAGAGATTGTCGCCGGAATAAAAAAGGGGTCCACCTATATAATTAAGTACACTAAACTCATTAAAACAATTAACAATGAAAATGCCAAGCCTCGGCGAGGTCAGGGAACTTTGTTATAGCGGTAAATCTGTCATCCTACTATATTTCTACTTTACCGGCATTTTTGAACAGAGTTTTGACAAAGAGGTTTCAAAAATAAATAAACAAATAAATAGAACTCTTTGTTAGAATTTGTAACATATGCTCTAATATACCTAACTTTAACATATATACTCCGTTCTCTCCACATAGTATTTCTGTCTGTCTGTCTGTCTCTCTCTCTCACTCTCTCTCTCTCCCCTCCCTCAATTCCTCCCTCTCCACCACCTCTCTCTATTTATCTCTATCTCTATACATCTATCTATCTGTCTCTAGCTATTCATCAACCTCTGGAGTTGTGTATCCAATAAGAAGACAACGCCTCATCCATCTCTTCATTTTTTCTCCATTTATCTACATTTATGATTACTATCTTCTTATATTTCTCGTTCCCATTACCACTCTTATTTTTCTCACCCACTATCTATCTTTCAATCTCTCGCTCTCTCTCTCTCTCTCTCTCTCTCTCTCTCTCTCTCACTCTCATCCGGCTCTCTCTGTATCGCTTTCTCACTATCTCTCTTACTTCCCGCTGTTTTTTTCCCGACATCCTATGTATCGATTTCTATATTGCCTCTTTCTCTCTCACTCTCTCTCTCTCTCTCTCTCTCTCTCTCTCTCTCTCTCTCTTTATCCATCTATCTATCTACCTCTCTTTCTCTACTTCTTTTTATCTTCCTTCTTCTATCTTTTGTCCGGCATCCTATCTATATCATTATTTATCTATCTCTCTCTATTTTTTCTCTCCCTTTCTGTCCTTTTTATCTCTTCCCGTCGTCTTATTTCGGTCATACAAACTACCTATGCCTATATTTCTCTCTCTCTCTCTCTCTCTCTCTCTCTCTCTCTCTCTCTCTCTCTCTCTCTCTCTCTCTCTCTCTCTCTTTTCTACCTATCCATTGGTTCATCGGTTCTGTCTGATTATCTATCAATCGACTTCTATTTAAACCGGTTAACAGAAAATCTGTTGCTGGTCAATTGAATGAAACAATAGTCACTTTTGCCGAGCTTTCGGAATATATTATTTCCTTCCTCAGATACTATGTTTACATGTACATTTATATGAGATTATATGCTACAGGTCCAAAAGAAAAACCAGACGTTTTGAGCTATAGGCAATAGGCTCAGTGCACTCTTTGCTGACTCGATCCGTCGCGAATGAACTTTACAACCGTTTTAATAAGAGATAACGTTAATCCGATGTTCATAAAGAAATGAGATAATTATGGCTAAAAGATAAAAAATTAAAATGTCACTGTCACAAATCATCCAATCTGGAGAGAGTAGTATTCATAATGAACATACAATAAAATAATGTTCAACAAGAATGACACAACTACGCAGAAAACAAACACTTAGAGCCCTGAAGATGATTTCAATAAAGATCGAAACTTTGGCACGACAAGGAAAATATTTTTCTAAAACCTACGTCACAGCAGACCGCATCTCACGATCTCCAAATAATCATTGTTCGACAATTTATTACGGTGGACTTTCTAATTACTTTCTCGAAAATACAGAAGGGTTTTGAGATATGTTGCCTAGAAGAGCCAACCTACAACGAAAATCAGATGAAACATTCTCAATATAAATGATTCACCTTATGCACACAAAGTAACAACTATAACATCTCCTCATCACCCTTTTCTTTTCCAGTCTTCTTAAGTAGAAAATTCTTTGGACGTGACTTAATTATTTCCACTAGACTTCGAAACCTTCTCAGAATGTCGGAGTATTTTAACATATGATGCTTTGGATATTTCAAATAGGAAAAAGGCACGTAAGTATGGTACCGATGAGTTCCGGGCCGGGGTTGCTTACAGCGTCACTGTTTCTACCACCAACACCCTTCATATCACAAAATTTATTATACGATTAAATTAATATAAAGTAGACTTAATAAGCATGAAAATGATTTTGAAAAAGTAAAACATTAGGAAAGTGAAGTAACAATATAGAAATTAAACAAAATGTCCTTAAGTATCTAATCGACCAAGCGGGCCGAGAGAATTGCTAGTTTCCGAAGTAAAGAAATATTTAGAAAACCAAAATTTGTAATGTTTTGTAGATCCTACAGTGACACCAGAGAAATACAATTCACGAATTTTTTTCAGGTACATTATGTGTAGCGGTAGCTGGTGCCGGGTTCGTGTGGATGGCACCCCTCATGGTCACACTAATCAGCGATGACAGCCCTGTCCCGATGTCGACGGCGGACAGTTCCTGGCTCTCCTCGTCGATCGAGATCGGACAGATCGTCGCCACGATGCCCTGCGGCGTCCTCGCTGACAAGTGAGCCCTCGTTTAAAAAATATTGAAATTCTTCCTTGAAATATGCTCCACTTTATTGGATTGCACAACGACACCAATATAATATTTGGAATCGGGAATGCGAAGTTTACTCATCAGAATTCTAATATTCCGTCATTATGAATATTGTATAAAATATTACATTCCATTTTGGGAGATGGTAAGGGGAAGTCGTAGAAAGAAAGGAAATATAAAGCCCGCGAGTTTTAACAGTACCCTTTTAGCCTCTACTAACGTTTCCATTTCATGGGAAAATGCTGTTGGTAAATTGGACGAAAAAGGCAAGAACTGAGATGAAAATTACACTAAATATCTCAACAAAATATAAACATATTCTTTTAAAAAAATTTTATCAACAAATCAAAATTAATCTATGTTTATTAAAATTATTCCGTAAATATTCAACATAAAACTAAATTTAATTGACAATTAAACTCTCGTACCAACACACATTTTTTTCGAAAAACGTTAGCGTTTTTATAAAATACAGTATGCGTTATTTGCAAATAAGCGGAATATAAGGTTAGCAGCTAAAGAGCTGACCGTACCATTTTCCCCGTTGACGTAGCTATTAATTTAAAAAAATCGTGAGAACACGCAATGTTTTTTTGGTGATTTCTTTAACCAGCATTAATATTTTTAATATAGTTTTAATTTCGCTTGTTTATTTTAAGAGCTATTCAAAAGAAAATAGGTTAACGCGAGAAATGTAGAAAGTACAGAGATAGAGTCAGACAGAGGGAAGGAGAAATACAGAAGAGATAGCTAGCAAAATAGATAGATAGATATAGATGAAGAAAAAAGATAGATAGATAAAGAGAGTAAGTGTGTGTGTGTGTGTGTGTGTGTGTGTGTGTGTGTGTGTGAGAGAGAGAGAGAGAGAGAGAGAGAGAGAGAGAGAGAGAGAGAGAGAGACAACAGGGAGAAAAAATATAGTTCAATTAATTTACAGATAAGACATGAAAAGAGGAACCAAATAGTTAAAGTAAATATACATGACATAAAATGATCTAAAAAAAGGAGATAGAAAGATCATAAACTAGAAAGTTTAATAAATACATAGATAGATGAGAAAGAGAGACCGAGACAGAAAGAGACCGACAGAGAGGGAGAGAGTCAGAGTGATATAGATAGAGAGAGAGTGAGAGAGAAGGGGGGGACAAAACATGTATCGAAAAAAAATGTGTTAAATTAATTTGCAAATAAAAACTGAAAAAAAGCTGGAATAAATATGTACAATACAAAAAAGGCGATAGATAGATCAGAAAATAGAAAGTCCAAAAAATAGATAGATAGGTAGAAAGATAGAGATAGAGAGAGATCGAGAAAGATAGTTGTGTACAGAGAGATAAAAAGATATAGTGTGAGAATGAAAGTGAGAGGTTGATTAAAAGTCAATTAAAATATTTATCAGGTCTGATTTTTCTCATTTTGTTGCTACGTATCTTCTTGCTCTAGAACTGCCAGAAAGAAATTGAGATAGAAGAGATAGAGATAGATAGATAGATAGATAGAAAGAGAGAGAGAGAGAGAGAGAGAGAGAGAGAGAGAGACAGACAGACAGACAGACAAAGAGAGTGAGAGAGACATACATGTCAGACATACGCATAAGAGGACATACATAGAACAGAAAGTTTATCACATTTTCTTGTTAAATTTTGAGTTTTTCTTTAATCCTTCGCAATCATCTTAGTCCGCATATCCTCAGGGATTAGGTATATTTTTACTTTGTGAAATCCTTAATAGTCAGTTTGTGTGTTATTCGGCCAATTTGTCAATTTTATAAGTTTTTAATCCCACCAGAAGCCTACTGATAACACATCTGGCAGACCAAACCAGCCATTACTGGCAGAACTGGATGGTCTATTGTAATAAACAATATACGTGATAGGTTTTTAACCAGTCTGTCGAAAGTTCAGGATAAATACCACATAGTTATTTTGAAAGCTAAAAAAATGTTGAAACTTAAAAAAATTGATCAAATTTGGTATGTTCTATATCTCTATATCGTTTTTTTAAAACATCTAATGCATTCCAACCAGTGCCAAAAGTCTCAAACCTTACTCTTGTGTCCATGTTGGAGATCCAAGTAGCCTCAGAACTTCATCAGAATGTCTGTCGTTTATGGTTTGAAAGCACAATGCTTGTACTTAAGAAATAGGCATTTTCTAAGTTAATTAAGTGTACAAGTGAATGCATTTACTGCAAGTAATTTAATAAAAGAGTCTGTTGAAAAATGTATGGCGACACTGAATCAACTTATGTTCTGATGTAAAAAATATTTACTAAACCAATTCGCAGAAAACATTTTTTTATATTGTAACTGATTCATTTTTAGCATTTCATAATTTTTTTTAAATGTTTTTCAGAATCGGAAGAAAGTATGTGATTCTTAGCGGTGGACCGCTGAGCTTGATGGCATGGCTTCTTATCCTGACCACCAAATCCATCGGAGTTCTTTACGCCGTCCGTGCGTTACAGGGAGTGGTCTCCGCGATAGCATTCACAATCGTACCGATGTACTTGGTCGAGATCTCCGAGCCGTTGGTACGCGGTATGTTCGCCGGTCAACTGAAGGTCCTGTGGTACGTCGGAACGCTTTACGCCTATTCGACCGGGCCGTACTTATCGTACGATAATTATGCCATGGTGTGCTCAATCCTCTCATTTTTATTCCTCCTGTTTTTTTCGTTCATGCCGGAGTCTCCGTATTACCTCTTCATGACCGGAAGAAACGTCGAGGCGCAGAAATCTCTGGAATGGCTTCGCGGTGGACGGACGGATTTCACTCTGGAACTGAAAAACATCAAGCACAGCGTCGAGAAAGACATGAGCCGCAAAGCCACCTGGAAAGACCTATTCGCCACGCGGAAAGATGTCTACGTCTTCTTTCTCGTCCAAGTCGTCTGCCTCGTCAAAATGTTCAACGGTCTATCCGCGATAGTGCTATACGCGACACAGACTTTCCAAGAAGAATTTAATGGATATTTTAGCAGCGGGAGTTTGACTATTTTTTTCGGCTTGACTCTTTTAGCTACATCCTTCGTCGCTTCTTTTCTAGCTGACAAGGTCGGCAGAAGACCGTTACTCATAATGTCCTCGGCTGGATCCGCGCTATGTCATCTGATAACTACTATCATCTGCTACCTCGACCGAGGTACGGACGTCGACGTTTCTTCCGTTAAGTGGATTTCCTATCTGTCCATTATAGGTTTCTGCATCGTTTCAAACATCGGGCTCGGGCCTTTGGTTCCGACCATCCAGGCCGAGTATTTCCCGTCGCACACGAGAGCCATCGGTTCAGGACTTACTGAAGTGGTCGCTTGCGCAGCGGGCTTTATATCAATCAAGCAGTATCAAATCGTCAACGACTATTTCGGCGTTTACATGAACTTCTTTTTGTTTTTCATCGTCTCATTCCTCGGGACGATCCTTTTGTATAAAGTGATTCCAGAAACGGCTGGAAAAAGCCTGGGTCAAATCCAGTCATCATTTAACAGGAAAATCGATGAATCTAGCCTGTAATTTTTGAAATTATAATAAGAACAATTGTGGCTAGTCATTACTGAATAAGTTAAGACATAATTTAAGTTTATTAGTATTTTTATATCAAATGTATTATTTGTCTTTCGAAAGATTTTTAATATATAAAAGACTAACATTATTCAAAATTCAGTAATTTAATTTACCTTAATTATTAATTTTTAGAGAATTGATAGCACTATACTTGTTCTTCAACATGAACAGCCCTCACAAGTAAACCGTCGAATGCTGATGCAATATCTATACATCTGGCCAAATTGGTGTCAAATCGAGTTTAGACATTTGCCAATATAAATTCTAAATTCAATCTCAGTGCTCCCAAAACCTAAGAAACCAAATCACCTTCCTAGCTCCTACCAACACATCAGTCTTTTGCCCATTATTGGTAAAATACTGGAAAAGCTCCTATTAATCCGCTTGTCCAAGGAAATTCATCCAAACACATTTCCCCATCACCAATTCGGCTTTCGGAGTTGCTACTCAATTATACAACAAGCGCATCGAATAATTTACGTTATTTCCACATCCCTTGAACTAAAACACTATTGCCCGGGTGTGTTCTTGGATGTACACCAGGCCTTTGACCGAGTATTGCACTCTGGGCTGCTGGGGAAGCTCAAGACATCCTACCAGCAACCTATTACCTTATCCTAAAATCTTAACGATCATTACATCCAAGTACAGAAATGCATTGTCTCCTATCCATCATATTCTAGCAGCTGTCCCACAGGGCAGTGCTCGCTCCTTTCCTTTACTCAATTTATACCTCCGACTTACCTACGCAATCTAACACTATCATCTTCATCTTTGCCGATGATACCGCAACCTTTTGTCCTGATAAGGATACTGTCACAGCTCCCCGTAATCTCCAAAATCACTTTCACATCTTTGAATGCTGACTCCTATAGTGGAGAATCAATATCAACGAAACCAAATCAACAATCTTTATCCTAAACAAAAAAAAAAGCTCCCACCAGTGTCCCTCAACAACGTTCCCATCCCAATTGCGAACCATGTACGATACCTCGGACTCTACGTGGACAAACGACTGGCGTCGAACCCCATACGCGACTTACGCGCACAGACTGGAACATACGATTTTTCGTGTTTAAACGACTACTCGACAGATGATCAAAACTCTCACTAACAAACAAAAGAAAACTTTACATCCCTTTTTTGGCCACAATTTGGGCATACGGACTTGAACTTTACAGGACTGCTAAGCGTTCCAATCTCAATCGAATCCAATCCCTTCAATATAAAATCCTCAGAACAATAGTCAACGCCCCTTTCTATGTATCCAATCACCATCCATACTGACCTAAATGTCCCTTTAGTTACCAATCTATCCCGATCACACTACAAAACGTAAAAAAAAATCCAATTCAATATTTGACATTTATCAATCTATGTAATTTTTAAACTCGATACCTTACAGTTGTACTTTTAAGAAATCAATTTTATACAATTATTTATAGATATAAATTTCTAATACAATATCTGTCATTTTTCGATCCATATAAATGTGTGGTGATTAGTGACCGTTAGTCGATGATTATTCGGAGATCGTGAGATGCGGTCTGATGTGATGTAGGTTTCATAAAAATATTTTCTTTATCGTGCCAACGTTTCGATCTTTATTGAGATCATCTTCAGGGCTCAAAGTGTTTGTCTTCTGTGTAATTGTGCCATTCGTGCGTGTCGTGTTGAGAGAGAGCCCTGAAGATGATCTCAATAAATATCGAAACGTTTGCACGATAAAGAAAATGTTTTTCTGAAACCTACATCACACCACACCCCATCTCACGATTTCTTAATAATGATCAATATAAATTTAAAATCGATACCTTACAATCGTAATAGAAATAATTTTAAGGAATGAATTTTAGAGAGTTCTATCGATATAAATTTTTAATTCAATATCTGACATTTATCAATCAATATAATGTTTAAATTGATACCTTACTGTTGTAATCGATATAATTTTAAGTAATCAATTTTATACATTAAATTTATCGTTATAAATTTCTAATACAATATCTGTCAATTGTCAATCAATATAAATTTAAAATCGATACCTTATAATCGTAATCGAAATAATTGTAAGAAATCGATTTTAGATTGTTCTATCGATTTAAATTTCTAATTCAATTTCTGACATTTGTCAATCAATATAATGGTTAAATCGATACCTTACAGTTGTAATCGATATAAATATTAAGGAATCAATTTTATACATTTATTTATCGTTATAAATTTGTAATATAATATCTCTCAATTGTCAATAGAAATAATTTTAAAATCGAAACTTTACAATTGTAATAAATAATTGTCATCGATCGATATAAATTTCTAATTCAATCTATGACATTTGCCAATCAATATATTATTTAAATCGATACCATACAGTTATAAGCGATATACTTCTAAGGAATTGATTATAAACTTTTCTATCGATATAAATTTCTAATTCAATCTCTGACATTTGACAATCAATATAATATTTTAAATCGATACCTTACGTTGTAATCGATATACTTTTAAGGAATCAATTTTATGCATTCATTTATCGTTATAAATTTCTAATACGATATCTCTCAATTGAAAATCAATATAATTTTAAAATCGAAATCTTACAATTGTAATGGAAATAATTGTAAGAAATCGATTTTAGATTGTTCTATCGACATCAATTTCTAATTCAATATCTGACATTTGTCAACCAATATAATGTTTAAATCGATACCATACAGTTGTAAGCGATATACTTCTAAGGAATCGATTATAAACTTTTCTATGGATATAAATTTCCAATTCAATCTCTGACGGTTGCCGATCGATTTACTTTTTTAAATCGATACTTTCAAGTTAGTTGTCAATCATGTTGCTTATATCGAAGCTAGCTTTATGGTTATAGTTATTCAGATATCGTGAGTTGCGGTCGGGTGTGATGTAGGTTTCAGAAAAACATTTTCTTTATCGTGCCAATTTAAACATCGGTTATGTAAGTTTATGTCAATGATTCTAATTATAAATTTAACATCCAACGATTCTTAATTAGACGTTCGCGGTAATTACCGAATTACTTAATTAAGGTAATTAATTAAAATATTTTAATAGGAACTTTTGTACCAATCTAGGAGGCAAAAAATGTCGAATAATGAGTATTAAGCTAAAAGGTTTAATAATAAATCGGGACAGCTTCCAATTGTTAAGTATAAAATCAACCTTATGGCATATAAAATGGGATTGAAGTAATCATTAATTTTTTAAGACACCTATTATTCATACGATGTATCTTTAGAATTTATAAGACATTGAATTAGACAAGTAAAGCGCAGGACTCAGGGAAAACTAATATCAGGGATTCAGGTAATTTAACGTGTTCTTGCATACATTTAATAATCGTGAGTCTAGAGATGTATTGGAGTCCAAAACCTCTTTGATAATTTCGGCAGAAGTTCCTTTAATAAACTTCTTCCTGTGCTTCTGGACTTGGGTACGCTGACGGTTCAAAGTTTCCCTTAAGATACATTATTTGAAAGATCCCTTTTTTTCAGAGCTGGTAAAGGGTTGTGAGGGACCACTTTGATGTACAACCTTCCTCGGGTATTAGATAAGCTTTTCTTTGCCTCTCAACCCAGAGCCCTGGAGATCTGGGTTACTTTGTTACCCTTGCGATGACCAGCACCGTGATACAATTCCTTAACCCTTATGTAGGAGGATGTTTCGAAGTACAAGGCCATGTCGATTCAAATTTAGTTATTCGATACTTTAAGTCTATGTGCAACATTTTAACCCAAGTAGAAAAATGGGGAAAAGAAACCCTTTAACAAAACAATAATGTAGTCTTGACTAATTCTAGATATTTGGTACGGTTTTGGCTAGACCTAGAATAGATCTGAGAAAAAATAGGCCAAATCCTTATATTGTACATTTATTATTATTACTATTGTTATTATTAAATTACCGATTAGCGGAGCGAACCATCACAACTTCCAATAGAATTAAATGAAGACTTTTTTTAAACTTTCATTTAATTTTAGTTGAGATAAAAAAGTCAGTGTCACGAGCGGGATTCAAACCCACGATCTTCGGCTAGATACGCCGCTGCTCTACCACTTGAGCTATCGTGATTTCGATCCACTCGGTCGTGGGTTCGAATCCCGCTTGTGACACTTGACTTTTTTATCTCAACCAAACCTCAGATTAAAAAAGAATTGAAACACTTATACATATATTTGTATATGTATTTTAGTCGTTTCCATTTATCTTGGTATTCAAAGGGGTTGTTGAGATGGGAAATTAGTGACCGAGTGGATCTAAGTCACGATAGCTCAGGTGGTAGAGTAGCGGCGTACCTAAGCTGAAGATCGTGGGTCCGAATCCCGCTCGTTACACTGACTTTTTTATCTCAACTAAAAACCATAATTAATTGAAAGATATTAATTGATCAAGCGGACCACGAAAACTAGTGAATTTTTTAAAAACGTTATTTCAAGAAAAGCATTACTTAATTATTATTAACAGTCTTAATAACTTGTGTGTGTTTGTGACATAAAATTTTAATCCAAACAGAGGGCTAAGTTTTTAAAATCCTTTTATCCTTTAAAAATAGAGGTTTACAATTAAATAAAAAAGTAAAAACAATATTTATTTTCCATTTCCCAGCCTAAAATGTCCTCTGAGAACTAATTTACATTGTATTTGACACCGTCCGCTCTCTTGAAAATATATTACAGCCTGGAATAAATGTATAATTTCTTTTACTCTTACGTATAAAAATGGCGTTTATAGCTTTTCACTGTCGGAGAAAAACGGGCCGACCGTCCGCGATCCGCGGACGAGAGAGCAACGTGAAAATTTATGAAACACTAGCCAGTTGGAGAGGAGCTTTTATGGTGCTTTTAGGAGAGCACTTAGTCAAGCATACGCCGAGGGTGGGAAAATTAGCATACACTCGTCGGGGTAAACCTCGAAACTGGCTGTCCAACGGTCACCAGACGCAAATACAAAAGGTGCTCGTTTCTCGTAAATACCATATAAAAACGGATTTACCGAGAAATGTATATACTCCTTATAATTTTTGTAAAAGATTTATAATTTGTAATTTTATTTTGTATAAGTTTTAAAGCCATCTGAAAATAAATCATTCCCAACTAAATTTTTTTAAATATTAACTTAGGGATGATAAGCAAATGGGCGAAAGCCAAATTTAAAAATAAAATTCAACAATTTTTTTATTCCGTTTTATGGTATAAAGAATAGAGGTAGTGAACGAATATAAATAACTTGATGTCACTTTCAATCCTAGGTTCAATCAATGGTCTAGCATCTGAAACATCTCCCATGCAAAACGTACTCTTAATAAAACCTGGCTTTAATCCAGGAAGAAGTGATTGTGATAGCTTGAAGTGCTCATAATCTTGTGTTACGTCTGCCAGATATGACTTACCTACAAGATGAAACAGTCGCAAAATTCCTGAGATTCTTTATAAGAAGTTTTTTCTCTTCAAACTCCTACACTGAACTGTATGATTTATTTACGTCTACAGTCATGATTTATGTAGCTTACAACATCAATTTTCATATATTTAAAAAAACAGATAGTTGACGTTGGGTTAACAATAGTTCAGACTAAGAGAAAGGGAATACTTTTGCGTATTATCTGACCACAGTTTACCTGTACACCACTCCACATACGAGCACCATAGATCTGATTTACTCTCAACTTATCGAAGCATGTTTACAGACTCCTATTCCAATATCCCTCCCTCTTAAATCTTTTCTGACTACCGACATCCATTCCTCTATAAAACATCTCAAATCAAAGACAGTTTCAGGTTTTGATCTTATTACTCCTAAATTACTCCACACTACCCTCAAAAGCCATCGTATTCATTACATATTATGTAATTCTAATCTTAATACTTACTTACCTATACCTATAAAAAAAACTTATTGTA